TTCCTGGAACCTCCCAGAGCCCTGATCAGCTGTTGGCTTTGTAGCAGAGACACTGCTGACTTTCTCCACTCACATCTTCCAGCCTGCAAGGAAAAGCTCAAATGTGAGTCAGGAAAATGTCTTCTGCTGGAGAACTACAGCAATTTAAACACAGTCCCCACTGCAGAGCTCTTCCCACTGGGGCAGGGTGGGCTGTGGGGGCAGCTGCTGATCAGCCATGGAAGGGAACACACACACATGGCCCAGCTTCCTTGCATGGAGCCTCTTGAATTCCCAACAACTCATACCCCTGGATTTGGGAGAGTCTTTTCACTGTCCCTATGGCTGGAGAGCAGCATGTGGGATTCAGCACTTCATGGCTTGTCAGGACAGACTGTCCTGCTGCTCACCTTTTCTCCAAGAAAAAAGAAGGGGTGAAGGTCAAATGTGGAAAGAAGAAAGAAGGCAAGGCAAGACAAGGCAAGGTGTATTGCTGCTCAGGGGAGTTTTGCAGGAGTCATGTCAATCATTGCCTGACTGGGGAACATTCTGGAAGTGGGGATAAAAAGGGTTATTCCTGTGTCTAAACCCGTGGTCAGAGTTGGTTTATGATCTGCATTAGTACAGATGAGAAAAACACCACTGCAGGATCACGTGTGGAGGGAGACACGATCCTTTGACAGATTTAGTCCATCTCAGGCTCCTGGAAACAGTTTTTTTACGTACTTTTGCAGCCAGGACATGAAAAGGCAAGCTTCTCTGTGCTTGAAAATGTCTGCTGTTAATATTTCCACTCAACAGCCTACACTACTCTCCTGATGTACAGTTATGATTCTATTAACACACTACCTTTTGTACCTTACGCTGATTCTGTTCTTGTTGCTATCAGAGAGCACTGGTAAGTCTTCAGTTATCTGCTGGAATTAAATTAGGCAAATTTCTGGCCACAGCCAGGAAAATCTTGGTTTGTAACTTCCAACTAAAACAGTGGGAAACCTTCTAGTGTATCTTCTTCCCCTACAGGAAAACAGGGGGTTGAAGGTCCGTGCCTTTTGCTCACATCCACGAGACTCCTCATTTGAAGCCAGTTCCCAGAAAGGACCATTGCCTTGAGGAGAGGTGGGTTGTGAGTGTGTGCTGGTCACGGAGGAGAGAACAAACAACTGGAGCCCAAATCTGATGAGGAGCAGCTGAGGGAGCCAGGGAGGCTCAGCCCAGAGCAAAGGAGGCTCAGGGGGGACCCTTTGGCTCTGCAACTCCCTGACAGGAGGGGGAGCCAGGGGGCATCGGGCTCTGCTCCCAGGGAACAAGGGACAGGGTGAGTGAAAATGGCCTTAAGTTGTGCCAGAGGAGGTTCAGGTTGGATACTGGGGAAAATTTCTTCACTGAAAGGGTGGTCAGACATGGGAACAGACTGGCCAGAGCAGTGCTGGAGTCACCATGCCTGGAAGTGTTCAAAGAATATGTGGATGTGGCACTTGGGGACGTGGGTTAGTGCTGCGCTTGGCAGCACTGGGGGAATGGTTGGACTCAACGGCCCCAGAGGTGGTTTTTCCCACCTTAGCAATTCTGTGATTCTATGAAGTAGAGGCAGAATCATGAGCTCAACCCTTGGTGTCCCAAAGCAGAGTCTCAGGCACAAGATTTACAAAACTAAATACTTCAACAGAGTGGTACAACAGCAGGTCAGCTCAAGCTGGTGCCTCTGTCATCCAGAACAAAGAAATCCCCAGGCAACGATGCCCTCATGGCTTGTGCACCTGCCCCTCACGTGTTCTCTTGGTCCAGTTTTTGGTCTTGGGTCTTCTAACACCTTGTTGAGGTCTTTCTCCTTGCCCATGCAGGCAGGAGCTGCTCTGATCTCACAGAGTTGCAGCCTCTGCAGTAGGCTGAACCCTCCTGATCTCCTGCTTTGGCTTCTGGTGCTCCCAGGAACAAGAACAGCCCCAGACATGGGATAAACACAACTGAGCACCCAAACCATCAGTGTGTTATTGTTGTAAAATGTGGGACATGTAAAATTTTCTTAAGAGAGGATGTTCTGCAGTGTTTGATCTTTGTAATACTTTCGAGCCTAATCAACAAGAAGGGAGATTTAATCCAAGAAACAGAGGGGAGTCAACAAGCCCCAAGTGACGTCCAGGTGTTAGAAAAATTATTTGTTGTTAGAATTGCCTTGTTAAGGGTTTAGGGCTGGACATGCTTCAGTGATCTCAGACTTAGGGGGAGGTTAACAAAGCTTGGGAAGAAGGACGTACCACTGATAGTGGGCACAAAGAATGCAGGATTTACATCCCACAGAAATTTGGCAGAACTCCCAAGATAAGGAAGAAACGAATAAAGCCAATTCAGTAACTGTGCTGAAAGCAGCTCCAGCTGGGTAAAGGGTAATTCTGGCAGGGGCAGATCCTGACCACCTACCCAAGAAACCCACAGACCGAAAAGCACAAGAATGAGAGAATCATTAAGCAATAAATGATAGAATAGTAATTAATAAGAGAACTATGTAACTTGTAGCCAATGAACACTAATTCCTTTGTTTTCTAAAATGTATAAACAGTAAAAAGTTTTGATAGTTGCTGTGCTTGATTTGTGGGATACTACTGAGCACCCAGGCTTAGGCAGATCTGAAATAAATAATCAGTGTTTCTTTGGAGTGTGTACTTATTGGCACAAATCCAGCATGCGACAAGTCCGATTTTTGTGGGCGACATTATCAATGTTCTTCTCATACCAACACCAAAGCACAGCGCTGTGCCAGCTACTGGGAAATTACTGAGGGAATCAACTCCACTCCAGCCAAAATAAATTGTCCCATGAGGAGCCGCCGAGGGAGCTGGCTTTGTCTAGTCTGGACAGGAGGAGGCTCAGGGAGGACCTTCTTGCTCTCTACAACTCCCTGATGTCCCTGATGGGACATTGTAGTGAGGGGGTTCAGTCTTGTACCATGCCGGCAAGTGAGAGGACCACGGCAAATGGCCTTAAGCTGAGACAGGGCAGAGTCACACTAGATATTAGAAAAAACATGTTTTCACTGTTCAGGAGGTCAGCCTTATGATTAGGTTGCCCAGGGAGGTGGTGGGGCACCATTCCTGGAGGTGTTCAAGAGGCGTCTGGCTGATGTGGTTTAGGGGTTACAGTGGCAGTATTCAGTACTGGGTGGACAGTTGTGTTGGAAATTATATCACTTTCCTAAAATTTTAATTAATGGTAGCAGTTAGTTGGGTTCTTTTTTTTTTCTTACAGACTCTTGTCAATTTGATCTTTAAATCACTAAAGCTTTGAGTTTCTCTGAACTAGCACTGATAAGCTTCAATAAACGAAGCTTGAGGGAACTGAGGATTGAACATCTGGGGTCTTAAATTTATGGTCCTTCGAAGACGTGATGGAGTAACCAGAAGGTACGGAGGGGATTAACAAAGACATTATACCCTGAGAGTTGGAGACTGTCTAAGGAAGAATGATAAGAGGACCAAAGAATGTGGACCAAATTAGCCAGTAAATGATAGAATACTAATTAAGTTATGAGAATTGTGCAAATTAGGACCAATGAATGTGAATTTGTTTGCTAAAATGTATAAATACGTGAAAAGTCTTGAAAGCGATCTATGTGACCGAGATGATTCACTACCTATCTCTGCCAGAATAAAGTAATGTCTGCCTCACTAACACTTCAAAGGTAGTGTTGGAGGGTTGGATTTCTTCCCGATGACTTTCATAGAATCATAGAATCATAGAATCAGCTGGGTTGGAAAGGACCTCCAAGGTCATCAAGTCCAACCCTTGATCCAACCCCGCTGCGGTTCCCAGCCCATGGCACTGATGCCACATCCAGTCTCATCTTAAAAACCTCCAGGGACAGAGAATCCACCACTTCCCTGGGCAGCCCATTCCAATGGCTGATTACCCTTTCTGTAAAGAATTTCTTTCTAATATCCAACCTAAACTTCCCCTGGCACAGCTTAAGACCGAGCCCTGTTGTCCTATTGCTGATTGCCTGGGAGAAGAGACTGACACCCACCTGGCTACAACCTCGTCAGGTCTCCCCTGACCCTTCTCTTCTCCAGGCTAAACAATCCCAGCTCCCTCAGCCTCTCCTCACAGCACTTGTGCTCCAGTCCCTTCCCCAGCCTCGTTGCTCTTCTCTGGACCTGCTCCAGCCCCTCCATGTCCTTCCTGAACTGAGGGCCCAGAGCTGGACACAGCACTCCAGGGGTGGCCTCACCAGTGCTGAGTCCAGGGGAAGAATCACTGCCCTGGCCCTGTTGGCCACACTGTTCCTGAGCCAGGCCAGGATCCATTGGCCTTCTTGGCCACCTGGGCACACTCTGGCTCCTGTTCAGCTTCCTGTCCATCCACACTCCCAGCTCCCTTCCTGCCTGGCTGCTCTCCAGCCACTCTGTCCCAGCCTGTGGTGCTGCAGGGGTTGTTGTGGCCAAAGTGCAGGACCCGGCACTTGGCCTGGTTGAACTTCATCCCATTGGAATCAGCCCATGGATCCAGCATGTCCAGGTCCCTCTGCAGAGCCCTCCTGCCTTCCAGCTGATCAACACCCCCCCCAGCTTGGTGTCATCTGCAAATTTGCTGGTGGTTCACTCAGTCCCCTCATCTAAATCATCAATAAAGATATTAAGCAGAACTGGGCCCAACACTGATCCCTGGGGACACCATTGGGGACCGGATCCCAGCTGGATGCAGCACCGTTCGGTGACAGCCGGACTGGATGATCTTAAAGGTCTCTTCCAACCTTGATGATTCTGACTCAAAGGACGTCCAGGATCAGTTCACAGCCAGCGCCTGAGCCTGCAGCTGGTCCAGTTAAAAACAACAGCACCCTGAATGTGACCCATCCTATGCGAACTCGTGCCTTGGGGCTGCACAGCCCACACCGCCCCTCCCGCGGGGCCGGGCCGGGCCCGCCCTCATGGCGGCGTTGCCGCGGCAACCGCGGCCTGGCGGGAAGGGGCGGGCGGAGCGGCGGGAGCGGCGCAGAGACACAGACACACAGACACGCGGCCGGACTTGGAGAGGGCACACGGACTCGCCATGGAGCTGGAGGAGAACATGGGTGAGCTCAGGGTCTGCCCGGGGGAGGCACGCGGGGGGCAGTCGGCTGCGGGCAGGACCCGGAGCGGCGCCACGAGGGCGCGGGCTGTGCCCACCCCAGCGCCCGAGCCGGGATGGGATTCACTGCCGCGGGCTTTCCCTCGGTTATTCCAGCCCGGCTGCCGGTGCCGGTGGGGTCCGGCCGGCAGGAAGGGTGCAGTGAAGTGGTACCCGCCGGAAGCTCCCGGCCCGGGCGGGTCGGGTCGGGGTTGCTGTGGGTGTGTTTCCATGCTGTGGGTGTGTTTCCATGCACGGGGACAGGGACAGGACCCCAGTGCACGGGGCATCGCTGTGGTGCCTCTGCTCGCTTCAGCCGGATGTAAATTGTGTCTGCTCACCTGCCCGGGACGGTTCTGGGGTTGTTCGGGGTTTGGGTGTCCCCTTCTCTTCACTCCCAACGCGCTCGGTCAGGTCTGATGTGGAGCCAGTTCACAGAGAGAAACCTGGAAAAATCTGTGACAAACAGTGCTTAGTCTTGTGGATTCCTTTAACTTTACCAGACAGTACTTAATCCTGTGATTATCAGTGATAAATAATATATATCTGATATCATATCTATCAGTGATATTTTAGCCCCGGGAATAAGGACTGTGCCCGATTTAGTCTTGTGAATTCCTTTAATAGACAGTGCTCAATCCTGTGATTGCTTATCAGCGATAAATAATGTCTATCTGATATCAGATATTTATATATCAGTGGTTAATGTGTACAAGCGGCTATTTTAGCCGTGGGAACAAAGACTGTGCCTTGAGCAAGGCTGATAAGACGGTGTTTCGTAGGCGGAACACACAGTTGGAACATATTCAAGGAGAAGAAACTGTGCTTGGGAGGCTTGTGACCAGAAAAGGATAGTTGGAGGAACAAGATGTTCCTCAAAGACCCCCAAAAGGCCTCTATTCTAATGTAAATGAGTTCTGAGAAGTGATTTAAATACGTAAAAGAATTCTCGGGAGTGTTTAGCACATACCTATGAGTTGTGATGAGTATGTATTAGTTCCATAGATATAAACTGGTGTGTTAGGAGTAGCATTCCCCGAGCACCCTGTGCCAAAATAAACACCTGCTTTCTAATACTGAATTTACAGTGTTAGAGAGTTTTATTTTTTACTTTTATTTTATTTTTCGGTGACAAAGCCACTTGTGGTTGCTCTTCTAGGGGCAGCTGGGCCAGTGCAAAGGCAGTTTGGTTCTCAGCTGCCCTGAAGGGGCTGATGCAGGTGAGGTGCTCAGAGGCAGCAGCACAGCCCACATGGAAACTTAGAGCTGTTTTACCTCTTGCATAATCAAATCCTAAATGTCCTAAAAGCCTGAGCAACAAGAGTGGCAGACCAGAAAGAATGGAGCAGCCTGGTCTGGCTCCCTGGTGTTGTATTCCATGTCTCCTTCTGGCTGCCTCCTCCTCACTGAGAATATGGAAAGTGTGAGGTTTTATTAATATTTACATTATAATATATTTTAAAGACAAAAAAATATGTGTGGAGCCACACTGCTTCACTGTTCACTGCTTTGATTCTTCAGAAGTTTTGCTGGTTTAGTAACTCCTCAGGTCCTAAATTATTACATGACATATTAAAAACTTCATTCTGAGTGACGTGCACCATGTTGGGCTTCCTCTGAAATGAAACTCAGTTACCTACTGTTCTTCCTCCAGCAAAATGAGCTGTTGATGGAAAAAAATTTGGTTCAGCTCCTGAGGGTGTTGGTGGGTGTGTTGTGATCCCAGTGATCCTCCTCTAGGAGAGCTGGAAAAGTGCTCCTGGCTTTCCCTTGGAGTTAGGATGCTTTCCTTCCTAATAAGGGAACTGAAAGAGCTGTTACACTCCGTGCTACTGACTCTCCTCTGTTTTGATTGATGTTCCAGTCATGAAAACTCTGCATTTAATTAACTTGCTTATGCAAATCAGGTGCCTGCCTTAATGAGTGGTTTCAAACTAAGAGCAACTGGTTTGACTCTGTCAGACCACAACCCTGATGTGGTGGGGTGAGGTTTTTCCCCACTTCACTGGGTCAGTGATTCCTGTCTTTGTAACCAGGTGCTTTTCCCTGTGTTCTGTTCCATCAGATTTGTTGGACCCAGAGAGGTTGATCCAGTGTCCCTTTGTCAAACAGCATCAGATCCGAGCCTGCCGCTTTCCCTACCACCTTGTGAAGTGTAAGGAGGTGAGCAGGGCAGGGGCTGGGGGTTCTGGGCATGGAAACCTGCCCTGTGTGTTCTCATTCCTGCTGCAGTTCCTGACAAACAGCCTTGGTTAGCCTTTATTTCACAGAACTTCATGATTTGTTTAGTAACAGCTTCAGGCACCCATTAATTCACCAGACCAGTCTGGCTCTGTAGGAAGGAGACAGAGATTGCTCATGGTTAGTCCAGATTCTGGTCCCTTCCAGCAGCTCACAGGGAGGTCAGATACATTTTTCCACTTTCAGTTGGAGAGAGGACTCAGTCACAGTTCTGTGCACCCCTCTTGGCTCCTCAGAGCAGGAGGTCTGGGATGTTGCAGTTCATTCTTCCAGTGCTGGGAATGCAGCTGCACAGCAGGGCTGGGGAGTTTTGTTTTGCTAATAACTATTTCATGGGCATCTGGCACAAACTGCATGTCCTGGGCTCAGCACATTTGGGAGATGTTTATTCCCCTCTCTGTCTTTTATCTGGAATTTGAATACAAATCCTTTCACAGGAAGCATTCCTTCTCTGTTGTCCTCATGGTTGGGTTTCTTTAAACCTTCCTGAGCTTTGGGTTTTTCCTGAGACCTTTGGAAACCTGATTATCCCTTTTTAAGTTGGCCAGTGTGTTTTTAAACCAGTAGAGCAGTGCTGTGCCTTCCAGTTAAGGTGCAGTTGTAGGCTGTGTGTCCTGGTATCAATACAATTAAATCATTTTGGTGGAACTAGAGCCTTAAAAATATTAATTAACTAGTGGAAGTGAGGGCAGAGGTAAGTGGCAAGTACCAAGCATTCAGGAGGGCTGAAATTTTCTTGTTGAGCCCCTGCAGATTTTGGCAAGAGCGTGCACGTGAGCTGGGTGAACAGTGTTGGCAAGTAAATGTTCATGCAGGTTGGATTTGTCCTGGTGTTTCCTGACTGAGCAGAGAGTTTTGACAAGTTTCCTGGTTAGGAGGATGAGGTGAGACAGTGATCAGCAAGCAGACACAGTTGGTGTCTGAGTAATTAGCAGAAGAAGGGCTTTGGGTTATCCATCTGAAGATGCCACAGTGGGAAGCACGTGGGTGGAGATTGTCCCTTTGGCTTGGGACAAGTTTGTTGAGTTTCCTTTGCATACCTTATGCATAAAATCCAGTTAATGCCTCCCCTTCCCTCAGCCCCCCATGGCTCTGTGCAGGACACAGCCCTGCCCCAAAGGGGACACTGCAAACAGAGCAAGTTGGATCCTCTTGGCTTGAACTGTGTTAGAATCCTGCAATCATGGAATGGTTTGGGTTGGAAGGGACCTTGAAGATCACCCAGTGCCACCCCCTGCCATGGGCAGGGACACCTCCCTCTATCCCAGGTTGCTCCAAGCCCCGTCCAGCCTGGCCTTGGACACTTTTAGGGCTGGGGCAGCCACAGCTTCTCTGGGCAACCTGTGCCAGGGCCTCCCCACCCTCACAGGGAAGGATTTCTTCCCAATATCCCATCTCACCCTGCCCTCTGTCAGGAGGAAGCCATTCCCCCTTGTCCTGTCCCTCCATCCCTTGTCCCAAGTCCCTCTCCAGCTCTCCTGGAGCCCCTTTAGGCCCTGCAAGGGGCTCTAAGGTCTCCCTGGAGCCTTCTCTGCTCCAGGGGAACCCCCCCAGCTCTCCCAGCCTGTTCTTCCCAGTAAAGCCTCTGTCACTTGGAGGAGATAATTTCTGCCACTAGAATTAGTGCTTGGGATGAAGTTTTTGAGTGAGAATCCAGGTGGAAACTGCCAACTCCTTGGCTGTTCTGAAAGGTTTGGAGAGTTTCTCTGTCTTTGTGCCTGCTTATTTAAAATACATCTGAATGGGTTACCTTTCCCTAATGTCTCTCCCCTGATGGCTTTAAAATTTGTGCTTTAAACCCCTTGCAGCCCTATCACCAGAAAACTGGAGGGAGTTGACTGAGGGTCTGTTCCACTTCAGTCAAAGGTGGCTCAGGGACTTGTGTTTGGAAGAACAAACCCCGTGGGTTTTTAGGGAGTGTCTGACATTGTGATTTCTTGTTTAGGCTTATATTTTTTTAAAGCAACACCACGAATATCCCAGTGGCTTTTATGCCCTATGGATTAACAAGAGATAAGTGAACTTAGAAGTGATGTGGCAGATGATTTTGGTTTTTCCCTTGCCCAGAGCAACCCAGAAATTGCAAAGAAATTGGCCACGTGCCCGTTCAACGCCCGTCACCTGGTGCCTCGGGGCGACCTCAGCAACCACATCATGAAGTGCAACGACCAAGCCCTCATGGAGCAAGATGTAGGTGAGAGAACCCCCCCTGCTCCCAGGTGTCTGCTCACCCTGGTAACTGAGGTTTCTTGGTGTAAGGATGAATTGTGGAATAACCAAAAAGTGGGATTCAAACTGTTGTCTGTAGTTCTGTGTGACACAGCAGCCTTGGAGAAAGCTGATCTTATGTGCTTGGGTTTCTTAGGCAGTTTCTTGAGATGCTCTGAGTACACCTTGCACATATTTTGTTACCAGGCTTGTTGAATGGAAAGGTTTTACCAAAAACCATGCAGGAAGTGCCTCTGGAGGGAGCTGGGATGCTTTATTGACCACAGGGATGGGCCCTTCTTCCTTCAGAGCTGATCTCCCTGTAACTCCCGCCACACTAAGGAGCAGACAGAAGTTTTATATCCTCTGTAGAGCTGCACTGAGGCCGGCAGTGATGCCTGCATCCATGGCAGCAGCTTTCCCCTTCACTCCAGCATTCCTGCTCAGAGTTCCAGGGAGCAGAGTCTTCTCTTGTTCCTTGAAAAAGGCAAACTCAAAGTTGCTGGATTTCAGCTCGGTCCCTGTCTGTCCCCAACCTGCTTGCCTTGGGCAGGGCTTCCTCTGCAGCCAAGGGATGTGTCACACCTTGAGCCAGAGCTTCCATGGATTTAAGGACTGGAAGTCACTGTGTTTTCTCTCTTCCCCAAGTGAGCAGGTTCTGTGAGCCCCCACAGGAGCAGGTGAAGGATGGGAGCACGTGGCAGGCACCTCCATGTGATGAAGACTGGGAAACAGGTGAGGACCTGTGCCACACTGCTGCCTCCTCCCTGGGCCTGTCCTCCACGAGGCCAGGGATGCTGCTCACTCAGGTCTCCCTTGTAGGACACCTTGGTTATGCTCATTCCTAAAAACATGGATCTCTCCACCCAGCAGGCTTGTCTTGCTCTGGAGAACAGTCCAGAATGCTGCCATGGAGAGGGATTTCCAAGCATCCCCTCCTCCCATATAAGCTTTTGTACTGTATGTGCAGTGATGGCAATGGAAACATGGTAGAAAACTCTTTGAGTTCCTCAGTTAAATGGCAGCAAACACATCCATCATAGATCAACTTTTCCTCCCTCTTGAACTTGTAGAAATATGAGAGAGATTCCTGATCACAGAATCCCAGAATGGTTTCGGTTGGAAGGGACCTTGAAGATCATCCAGTGCCACCCCCTGCCATGGACAGGGGCACCTTCCACTAGCCCAGGTTGCTCCAAGCCCCCTCCAACCTGGCCTTGGACACTTTTAGGGCTGGGGCAGCCACAGCTTCTCTGGGCAACCTGTGCCAGGGCCTCCCCACCCTCACAGGGAAGAATTTCCTCCTGATTCCCAATCTAACCTTGCCCTCTGGCAGTGGGAAGCCATTTAAGCCAATGATCTGACAGTGGTTGCTGGAGTTTCTTGGTTCTGAGCCACAACATCTGTTTCCCTTCACAGAGGTGTCGGAGACGTCTAAGTCTGCTTTTGTTTGGGGTGTGCCCAACTCTGCCATAAACAGGTAGGAAATTTGAGTTTAATTGCAAACAAAGCAGTGTTTGTTTAGAGGAACATTGCAGCCTCCTCCCAGCCCTGCCTGGATGCTGGGCAGGAGCTGCCTTTGCTGCTGTCCAACCCTGGGAGGAGGGATGCTGGACAGCCAGTGTTCTTGGGCTGCTGGTTCAGTGGGACCTGCTTTCTCCTGTGCCCGGTCTGTACCAGAGAAGGAAGCCCTCAGGAGCACAGATACTGCTCCTGTGTGCCTGTGGCAGGGGGCTCTTCCTGTCCTGTGTGCAGGAACTGATGGATGTCCCCAGTGTGCAGGGGAGAAAGGTGCTGGCACCTTGTGGTCCCTGTGAGTCCTTGGGAGCTCCTGGAGCCTGGCAGGTGGGACCTGGGGCCTGGCCAGGTGTGCTGGTGTTGGGCCCTGTGTTTGCAGAATCCTCCCCTCCTGCCCCTTGCAAAGTGTGATCCCAGTTTGGGCTGTGGGAGCTTGGAGCTCGGTGCCCAGCTGGGAACAGAAGGAGCTGCCATGGCTGGTTTTGCTGCTCCACCAGTGGATTGGGATCGTGGGCTGGGTGTGGGATGTGGTGGCACCACCAGAGCTGCCAGAGATAGTTCAAGGTTAATCCAACAGTGGATTCCTTTAAGGTTCAGCAAAGTCCTGCCCGTGGCAGGTCCGAGTTCTGTATGAGCTCACCCATGATGTCCTCCCCTTCCACAGGACTGACAGCAGCACTGTCTCCTTCCACCTCTGGGGCTTTTTAGAAACCCTTTGAGTGTTTGGAGCATAGACAGCTCTCCTCAGCATCATCCCCCACAGCCCTGCTGTGGGAAGATGCAGAAATGTGACCCAGTGCATTTGTGAGGAGTAACCAAAGTGTCTCCATTGCAGCACCACCAGTGGCCAGACCAACTCCCTGCCCTCGAGGATGAGGGCCCCCGAGACCCTCCCGTACAGCGTGTCCTGCAGGGCTGTGAGTACTGACCTGTGTGTGTCCTGCAGGGCTGTGAGCACTGACCTGTGTGTGTCCTGCAGGGCT